TGTAAAGACATATGATACTTAATATATCAAAGAATAATAGAAAAAAAAAATTTTTTTTTTTTGATAAATTGGCACGAAAAACCGTTCTGCTTATGTATATAACACAGTTCCACTTTTTAGGTTTGTTAACGCATTAAACCTTTTGCATTCTCTGTTTCCAATAAACCTTAAGCTTCTTTGCGGCTACTATCACTTGGCTGCTGTTCGCATGTTGCTCAAGTTATGTCTGCTTTCTTTCTAGTGACTGTTATTTTCATAACTAATTTTTGCTATTGTTGTTTCCATCATTCCCCCTCTTTTATGTTTTTTAAATCTCATTTATTTGCTAATTGCTTCTCAAAAAAAGTTCTGTTTTGAAAGTTATAAAAGAAATAAGACAGCACACTCTTCTCAACTATCACACAGCAATTAATTTAACTATTAATTTTAAAGACATATTGGAAGTAGGCCAAATAACAGATTACACTTTTCATCATGCATGAGTAATTGAAACTTCTAATATTTCTTGACATCTGCTTTCACGGAAGTCTCCTCTCTCATATTACCTTTAATTATTCTAAATCATTAATTTTTACGAGCTTTTTTTTTTTTTTTTGTCCGAGAACATTTCTACTTGATCTGACTATTTATCGTTGTATTATTCTTAAAATTCCTTATAACCTGTTTTATGGCACTCAACTTCTAATTGTTATTTATGATTAATTTATGAACAGCGACAAAGCCAAACAATAGTCTGTAGTACAATTTGATGTGGCAAAAACCCTTAACAAAGCACTTTGTTTGTAACCTGAGCAATCTTTGAAATTATTCGCTACCTTATCTAAGCTTTAAGGTTAGATAAACAATTCTCTTCACCTTACACTTCAGATGGTTTAAGATAAAATTAAACATTTTCATTTATTTTTGATATTCCAGACAAAACTCTACTTGGTTCACATCTATTCAGCATACCAGTTTCTGCTTTTCTCAAGGTTATTGTCATTGGCAAACTATAGATATTTTCTGATGGCTATAAACTACATATTGTCTATCGAAGGAGCGCCGAATTTTTAAGCAAAATTTATGAGGATTCAAACAAAATCAGCACTAGGTTTTTGATAAGCAATTATTTGTTTTTATCAAAAATTTAGTGTTTTCTGAACTAGCAGTAAAACTGTAATTAATAAAATCAAACACTTTTCATTTATTATTTTTTAAAAATTTACGGGCTTTTTTTTTTTGATGAGAATTTGAACTTTGTTTTGTACAATTTATTTAAAGTTTATAAACCTAAAAAGACAAGCAAACTTGATATATTGCACCGTCGAAATTACGGATTCAGGTGTTTTATTGAGACATTATAAATGCTGTTTCTCTCCCCGACTGGTTAATATTTTGAAATATATTTTCCGAGCAGCTCTGGCAATAGGTGTTTACTCAAATCAATTATAAATTTTTTTTTATTGCTACACTTTCCCAGTTGCATAACCTTCAACTTTCTTAAACACAAAAACTTGCCCTGCCAGACATTGATACCGTTGATGTCTGTTTAAAAAAAACAGGATTTTTGAGCCAATTGTAAAACACTGTCTGGTTCCATTGGTTTTGAAATAAATTTGTCAAAGTTCAATCTTAGCTCGTCATTTATTACAGCTCACAGCTTACCAATATAGGTGTATTACTTTAAAACTAAGATCATTTCGGGTAAAGATTTTTGTTATGCAAAAATACAAGAAACTGGGACACATTACCCCGTGATTTTGTAACCTCTCCATTAGTGATTGTAATCTAATGCAGCACATTGGTGTTGTTATAATTTTCTATAATTTTCAAATTCGTCCACTTCTACAGTTTGTTTCACATAGGTTTCTTTGATCTTATTTTAAACTAATTTTTGATTTACTTTTTTCCAGCTGTACTGTTTTTGCTCGTTGATGTTTCCGTTTTTTTATCATTTCAACTTTAGAAACAAGTGTTTTCGTACCATATTAGCAAATAAATAAGTGTTTGAATAAGTATATTCCTTTACTTTTCTATCCATTCCTTCTCAGTAGTATTTAAAAATACAGTTTCTTTTAGAACAGTTTAACTAAAGAAAAATTTCTTTGTGGCTTTCTTCAGTATTACAACACCTGAGTCACATGGTACCCGTCTACGAATTCCACGCTTGCCTTTAATAAATAACAGTGCAAACCCTTAAATTAATCAGTCACCTCATTCACGTATTCTCGTTTACTTTAACTCCATCAACTCAACATCAAATAATTCACTTTCCCATGCTATTTTGTTCATGCACATTCTTTCTTCTACTACCGTTTACTGATTCCTAGTATCTTTAGCTGCAAATACAGTTGACTTATCCCGGTACACACCGACGATAGAGCAGACCTACGATTTTGGCCAAAATCATCGGTGCTGTAGATAAGGGCATTTTTTCTTTTTTGGAGGGAGGAGT